TTTCGATGATACAATTTGCAGTTATACAATATTAAGAATTGCCGTGCGCTTGCCGAGATGACTGGCGTATGTTTTGTGCGGGAATAGAGGGTTCCGCGTTTCTTATCCGCGACTGATATTGGGAATGCGGTGCGCGTACAAGCCGGCCTTTTTCGAAATAATTGTTTGGTAAAATGGCACGACAACAAAACCGCATCACCAACGAATTTCTGTTACCGGAGAAATATTAATTCCTTCGGTCTAAGGTACTGAGAAAATGCTTTTATAGAAAATAGTAATTGTCCTTGATGGATAAAGAGTCGTCGTTTTTTTTTTTGCCGGTAAAATTCGAGGAATTTTCGAGCGAGAGATATCTGCTTTATTTATAAAGCATGTTGGGTGAAGCTTGGTGGGGACTCTTTACGACACTCGGAAGGCAAAGTTGGTTGGTTCAGGCATCGCTGTATTATCGTGTTTAGGATTATTATTCTTGAAGCCAATAATCGTCTAATGTAATTTATGCGATCGTATCCTGTGTGTAATTGCTGCCAAAGCGACAAACATAGAAATATAAACACAAAGTGCCGTATATTATCGATAATGACAACAACAACAACAACAACAACAACAACAAACAAACAAACAAATAAACAAACAAACAAACAACATCAAACAAACTTATGATTTTGTAGGCCGATGTTCGCTCGTGTCATTGATTTTTTTTTCTTTTGGACAATTCGTTCGCGATACCCACGTGCATTCGAGCTACTTATGCATTTAAAACTTATGGATTTTGATAAACGCTTGCCACGCTTTCTCGAGCCGTGCTTGCGAACCCTTTTGTGTACGAGTTTCCGACAAAAGTAAATGATAAAATAAAGTTTAAGGGCACCGCATTGCAGTTGGAAGTCGCGCAAATTTAATCGTTCGACTTTTTACGCAACTTTATGAACAAGTTCTTCAAGCGCCTACGAGGGCACGCCTCGACGTTCCTCGATATCGTTCGACCTCGGTCGCTTGGCCACAAACTCCACAACGGATACGAGGAGTTTTGGAGGTTAATCAACGGCACTACAGAGCCCACAGAGTATTGTCAACCTGAGCAATGGTGAAGAAAAAGTCGAAGCCAAGATGGCGAGCAGATCTCGCTATTAGTACTTGCTAAGTAATTCCCGTGGGAATTGTCGTCCGCTGGTCCTCGACCTCGCCCTTGTCCTCGTCCTCGTCCGCGTCCTCGCGCACCCGATGACGGTGGCCCGGGAGCTCTTCGCTAGGAGAAGGCCCCCGCGGGATCCAAATAGCCTCCGTGTGCCATCCCGCGAGCGTTCCCCGGCTGAAAGTTGGGGGTAAAATGGCCCGCGAGGAGGTACGACTCCGGGGACCACCGCGGGCCGACTTTCCTACGAGTTCACCCCCTATTATCCCCGCAATTATCCTCGGGGTATTTTGGGCGTTAACACCGCGACCTTGAAACGTCCGATCGTCCCGATTTTCGACTACCACATGGGAATATTCTCGGGTTTTCATATCGCGCGCTTTGTCAGTCTCGTGTGCTTGTTTGCTTTTTATCCCTCGCGGGCCACCGCCGCTAAGTGGATGGGAAAGGAGATTTTGTAGGCCAGTGCCAGAGAGCCGCGCGGGTCGTTGCTTCCTTTCAATCTACTCGAGTGGATTCTGCCGTATTTTCGAGGTCACTCGCTACGTGACACATTTCTGGCGCGAACGAGCACGTGAACCAAACGATTTCATAACCATAATTGAAGATTGGTATAACGCGCGCACATGCCATTGCGCCTTATAAGGTCCTTCCTAAATCTTTTAGGATCAAGTATCTAGCTAGCGTCGATTAAATATAGCAATGGAACAATGCGAGTGGAGCTGCAGCTCTTAGGTGAGATACGTAAATTATTGGCAAACGTTAAAGTTCGCGGAATCGTTTTGTCGGTTGACAAGCAGATGGGACATAATAATACTCGAGACAGACAAGCGGAAATCGTTCGAGGCAAAAATGATAGAGCAAAGACTGTGCATTCGTTAATGAGGCTTCACAATGTGTTGGAGCAAACACAAAACGCTTACGACGCACGATGCGAGTCATTTAAATAATTAGACGCGTAACCTCGGGTGCTCCACACCTTCTCCAGTCCTATACTGTGAACTTATCGGTCGCAATTATCGCAACGCGTGTATGCACAGCCGATGATAATCGCCTACGACCTACGTAATTTTCAGACGCGCACGGCATCACGAAAATTTTGCGACCTCACCACTCCTCCCACCATTCCTGGGTAATTTCTTTTTCAGGGTAACGTAGGAAACGTTAAGTAATTGATAAGCAAATACGAGCAAAGGACGAAGAGCAGGGAGGAGGGAAAGAAAGCCGGGTGTTTTATCAGTATCTTCACGTGTCTCCAGATAATAAACTTTCATAGTAATTTCATTAGGACTATCGGATAAAATCATTTCGTCGATTGTCAACGTGACAAGGCCCAAAGCGTTTTATAACATTGGGGCTCGAGACTCTTTCATCCCAAGAATCTTTTATACTGGCAAAGCCCTATGCAGTCCGTCACATAATTACTCTTCCTAATAATTCGTCCTTAAAAAGCAATCACGATTTTTCCGATTCGATTGTCTAAGATTATTATTTGCATTGACGCGATTCTCACTTGGTTCTAACCTGACCTCGAACATCTAATCAAATGTTCACGCGCGCATTACACGCCGTACGATAAGGAAAGTTAATAGCAAAGTCAGTTGCGAAAGATAGATCGGTTTTTCTATTTGAGAGCTCATAATTCGAAAGACGGCTAATTGTATTAAGAGCGGGAGCACTCGCCCACAACGATGTAATTCACCTTTACAGCTTTCTCAGCGATACAGCAACTTTGGCGCATCGAGTAGGAGCCGCGAGCGAATGGATTGCACGTAAACACTTATGTTAATTACACTGCCATTACCTTCGCATGACTTTTTACCATTAAGTACATACATTTTACAATTTAGCTAAAAGATTTTCAAAACTAGCTAGAGAGGAATAGATACAAGGTAGACGAGGTTTTCAAGAAATTTATTTACTTTTCTATTAGGAATTTGTTCTTGTATTTTATTCACCACCACCACCCCCCACCACCCCGTCACCAGCTCCTACTTTCTTATGGTTCCAATTGTTACTCTTAGTTCAATTTATGACATTTTTCATATTCTCGATCGGAATTTTGTTACATTTATTGTCGTGTGCCGAACTTACGCTGAACACACAGTTTTTAAGCATAGCACTTACTTTTTACTACAATATACATTCAATTTATTTAAAATAACATTTTGTCCAACGCCTTGTCATTGATTATGATATATCATAGTTTAAGCCAACGATAACAAAAGTAACTTTGATTTCTTAGACGCAGCTATATGTGCCAAAGAAGTACTCTGTCTTTTTAATAGAAAAATTTCAGACAAATTGTAGAATATGTAGATAATTGTAGTAATGTAAAATTTGAAAAGTAATTTACTTGCATTCATCTATTAGAAGAAAAAAACGACAATTACTTTTAATGCAAACAGATTATTAAAGTTTAAGATACTCGACTATTTGCATTCAAGTAGAAGAAAACATTTATTGTTTAAATAACATCCTAAATGCCCATCGAAAAGCTCAATTAGTCAAATAAATAAATGAAAAATAAATCCGAAATTCCAATTGGTAATTAAATGTATATTATCGCTAATATACATCCATATGGATTTTCATAAAAATTTATTAAAAATTATAAAATTAACCTATTTACGTGAACTACGTATTTGGTGATCTTGAACTCGATCGCTAATCCGTATGGGAAAAGCTGGAATGCTTCGATCCAGTGCAACCTTCGGAGGCCGCCCATCCCCCTTCCACAATAAAATTAAATGTCAGCTAATTTTGAAGGGTGTGCTACGTTCGTAGCTCATCCCCATCAATTCGCCGAACAGTCACAACGGAGACAAACAACGAAGGCGCGAAGGTGGAGATCTCGGGCTTGCACAACAAGCTTGCACATCCAGTTGACAAGAGACCACCGTGTGGTGCTTCCCATTCGCGGGCTTCCTCCCTGCATCGTAGGCGTTACCGATTACGCTCTCTCTCTCTCTCTCTCTCTCTCTCTCTCTCTCATCTACTTTAGCCCCCCAGATCAAAGAGAAGATCCCCGACCTACTCCCACAGCGGCTTGGACAACAGACACCGGGCTTTATTATTCTGTAGGCTAAGCCGTCCCATCCCGTCGCGTGCCTCTCCATAAATATATGAGCGACTCGGTGTTGTCATTAAATAAAAATCAATCAGATGGCTGTAAAGGAGGCTTAGCGGATTTGCTTTCGCCGCCCACGGCTTACGCGACTACCACTGCACTGAGATAGATAGATAGATAGATAGATAGATAGATAAGGAGTGGAAGTAAGAGAGAGGTAGAGAGAGAGAGAGAGAGAGAGAGAGAGAGAGAAGGGAAACAAAGATGTTATAGAGGCAGGGTCGTCGAGTACCGAGCTCTTGTCTGCATTGTCCGCTGTATTCGACTGGTACTAAATTACCTTCTGGGTTTTCGGGAGAAAGCCCCCAAGCGCCACCGCCACCATTCTGTCTTCTTTTCCAACTTTTCTCTCACTATCATTCTTTCTAATGCGCGCACGCAAGCTCGTGCTCTCTCTCTCTCTCTCTCTCTCTCTCTCTCTCTCTTTCTCTCTCTTAAGAGTAGATTGTCAAATAAATTGTTATTCTTACGTGCCAACTTGACACTCTCCGATTTACCAATTTATTATCGTACATTATCGACGAGTCAATTAGTCGCCTTTGACTAACTATTAATCACAGAAATTATTCATTGACATTATTTATTTATTTATTGAAAAATTAAATCGTTCAAATTAATTTTTTAGACATATTAGATTATGGAATACCATTGTATGAATAAATAGGAATAATTTGCTAACATTTTAAAAACATATAAATAGCATTACATGTATGAAATAATATTATTTTGTTTTAGGCAATCATGTACGAAGGACAAGATAAGAATCCGGAAATGTGCAGAGTTTTGCTCACCCATGAAGTTATGTGCAGGTAATTTAAAGATATTTACATTACTATTTATTCATTTTAAAAATAAGATATAAAAATATGTTACTTCTATTAATGATTCACGCGTTAAAGAAAAGGTTTGAGGGAAAAAATTCTTAATCAAATAAAAGTTTTTTTTTAAATTTTTCACTAAAGTTAAAATCGAAAAAACATGAGCGAAAATTGAACACGTCATAACATCGTATAATCACCGTATTATCATCGTTCATAAAAATCTATAAAAGAAAATATTGTATCTTTTGTAATGGGATTGGAAAAAAAAAATAGTGAACCTAGTACATTTATATAGATTAATATAATTAAAAACTACATTTGTTTAACAAAGCCATCCTATTTAGGTAAATTAATTTGCGATTTTCAATAAGTAGAGTCCACGGTATGATTATGTACTTTGGCTTTCACAACCTTGTTGATATATGGAATTTATTTCGATTATAAAAATATTTATTCCAATGGAGTTCATTTCTTGCAGCGATCAATCGTTATTTTATTAAGAGAAGACGAACCTTCCAACTCATGACTTGGAAATAATATATATATATATATATATATATATATATTATTATAAATATTGATTGCAGAACAGTTGTAGAAAGTAACAAAAATCCCACGCGAGTGATCAACTTTTTGTACATGATCATTTGTAAGATCTTGATTGCCTGATATTTACAATATCATCGAAATATTTATAAGACTGATCAGATACGAGGCTGAGCATTGCGAAAGCAAACAACTTACCAATCGGGACACTTTCAAATCTCAAGTCACGACAATAACGTGCCCAAGTTGATGTATACCTTACATATTTACCTTGAATGAAGAATGAAGCCCTTTAAAAAGGCACAAGGGCTCATTCAAGGATCGATTCCAAGTGTAAACTCGAGGCACTGTGTAGGAAATAATAGATCAAAATAGAGCAAAAAGAAAATGAAACGAGGGTCATACACAGACTTGAGCGCGCGCGCAGACAGAGTTAGTCAAGGCCCCTTCGGGGACCAGTCGCATACGCGTATCCCAGGGGACACTCGCGGGGAGTTTTTTAGTCCCGTTTCCGTCGAATTCGTCCCTCCAGTCCTTGCGCTGCTTTCTTCCGCCTGTATGAGAAAAGCATCATTGTGGTTATAAATAATCGCACTTACTATTCGGGTTGCCTACTGCCTATGGTTCGCGCGGCTCATGTACGCGAATGATAATTAATTGGGATGCGCTTGTTTGTTACAGCCGCTGTTGTGACAAGAAGAGCTGCGGGAACAGGAACGAGACGCCCAGTGATCCCGTGATCATCGACCGGTAAGTTTGTCCGCTCTCCCTTTATGGCGGTTCTCTTAATACATTTACCTCTGTATTTTTATATATAATTGCGTATTATTAAGGCTGGCTTTATGAAATGATAAGAAATTGGATGTCGTGCAGGTCTGCGAGATCGATATTCTGTAGTTATGGGATATAAGATGTTCCATCGGACATAGTAATTGTATTTCCAGACTCATCGCAGAGTCGGAAATTCGTGCGATAATTAAGCTTTTATTACGTGCCAATTATATTCATCGTAAAGTTAACATTAATCCATTTATTTAATATTATGTTACAATTAATTGGAATTCCAGTGTATTAGATTGATTACGGCATAAATTTCCCAATACAAATGGAGAAAAATTCCTAATAAAAAATAATCAATATAACCTAATTTAAAAGTATTATAAAAAAAAATGCACACACACACACACACACACACACATACACACACGGATATATATATATATATATATATATATATATATGGAAACTGTAAGAATAAAGACTATTAATTGTCTTAAGCGTTAATTATCATTTCGTCATTGTTTAATAATGAGGATTAATGATTATTATTAAAAATTTAAAACAAATTTATATTCCAATTTTAATAACCACGCAAAACTGTTAAAGACAAATAACAACGACGACAAAATAAAATCAAATATTTAAATATATTATCGCGCTTCTCTTATATTCTTTCTTCTCTATTCTTTCAATGAAAATTTAATACGTAATTAACCATTGTAACAACTAATGTATTTATTGTTTATGAGATTAGCTGCAAAATAAAGGGTAAGAAAGGACTAAAAGACTGGCAAATTATTATGAAAAATATGTGTCGAGCCGTGTGTGGGAGCCGTAATGGTTTGATTGGGAGTGTTGGTAAACTAAAAAAAAGTAATACATTAGTTTATATCGTCTCCTTTGTATAATCAATCGTATTCGATATTTGTCGTAATGTATACAAATCCTTTAACGGATTATTTGAAGAAGATGCGAGCTAAAGCTCCTGTCAAAATCAATTTCTTAAAAAATCTTAATACCGGCGCGTTGGAGGAATTTCGAGCGGATTTGTCCAGATAATATCAATAATTGAATGAGAGCGACTCTAGCATGTCGGAGCATTACGATAACGGAAAGTCTCGGCAGAAGACAAGGATCACTCTTTCTTTCGCCACGTATTCCTCGTGGATCGAAGGTCCACGCACAAGACAAGCAATGTCCTTACCAGAGAGGTACGCTCAAATCCTTGCACTAATTCCTTGACTTCTCGAGGCGTCCCAGAACATTCAAAGAGCCATGGAGAGAGGTTCGCGAGCTGCCGCGGATATTCAGCGTAATCCCTGGTGGTCGCTCAAAGGCTCCCCGAAGACGCTCCGCGTCCACGGGAGATATTTAGGCCCGAGAGTCGCATTGTGCGACGGTGAGATACACCTGCAGCTCGTATCTGAATGGGGTCGCCGTCGTAGCGCTCGTCCCAAGAGATAAGGACGACCTCCCCGCGGGACTCCCATGCTCTCGAGGAGACAATCTTCGAGGGGCGCTTGCCCCGTTGGATCTTGATTGGCCGTAGCGTGGCTACGTATAAGCCGTCGCGACAATTAATTTTTATCTCGCCGAGAGAGGAACACGACGTACCATGCGCGCGAACGGCGCAATTCGCATGATTTAGCCACGAGATAGGAATCTACGTGGCTGTCGTGATGCGCGACAGCTGAGGCTAATTATCCTTGATGGGCCCTGCAGGTATTTGAAATTACTTTGGGCTTACCAATGTGTTAAGTGATTCTAGATAATCAGGCAGATTTTGACGTTAACTCGGTACTGTTCACCAACTCGATGACTAGCCAAGTCTACGGGAACTCGGGCTTACATTGTCAGACTTATTCCCGGGGTACGTTGGCGTAGGCGAAAGTAGCGAAAACTTTTTTCTCGAGAAGAAAGTACTCGTTGTCCGTTTTAATATGCAAACGTATGCGAGATCGTCTTGCACATGCATTCAATGGCATTGCTCAATAATGCACAATTTCGCATTAGTCTATGCTCCACATCCTTAATTGGAATACTCGTATTATTCTACGTCAACGATCCAAATACTTAATAACGCTTAATAATTACATTCTCGTGAAAAAATGTGAAAGAGAAAAAAAATATCGTAAAATTGATTTTTTATGAAAATTCAATGGTCTTTTAAATCGAATAATGATCCGCGAGCATCGGAACTCCCGTGGTGCAAGAATAAGTACGAAGTGAAGTTTCCCGTCAGGCGCACTTCCTGCCAGCGATCTTTAAAATTAATTTTAACGTTCAGTCGGCCCCGGGTAACACACTCGAGACAAAAATATTTTACCGACTTGCCCATTACAACGAGAAAAAAAGTAAACTGCAATCAAAATCGCTCCCTATAGCGGCACAAGCAGGCTCTTAACTTTTCATGGACGATGAATCCCGTAACAATAACTTCCCGATTGACGCGAGGAGCAATTTCAGCGCGACCCCCCACCCCCCTCATACCGCCCGTCACCTATTCGCCCCTCTAACATCTCGAAAATAACGTAAAAGACCAATTACCCCGATGCAGCACCGCCCGTCCAATCTTCAATAACGAGGTCGCGAACCTCCCACCCTCCTTAACATGCATCCAAGCGATCGCTCGTACGATACCGAAAAATTAATTTCGAAAATGCGGTGTGCCGCATCCCTTCCTCCTCCCGACTACCCCCATTCACCGCCGCCCCTCAGACGAGGTCGCTGCGCTACCAAGTAGGTCGCGTGTCACGGCCCTGCGCCCCTATAGCTTCCTTTCCTCCTGATATTCCTAGCGTCTTCTCCTCGCAGTTATGGCCCCTTCGCACGCGGCCCTAATTCTTGAACGGGGCTTCGTCCCCTGGCCCATTACCGGCAACCCCACCGCACCACGCGGTTCCCCGCTAATGGACATAACGTCGAATTGATATTTCATTCGCACAATGCCCTTTTTGTCTCATTGCTCTTTGTAGGTCGCCGAGCCTCACTAAAACTAGCAAAGAAACGATTGTCGTTGGTCCAATGCCAAACTCCTTGGCTCAACTCCCTCGAGAGAACGTCGAGCTATAGCGCAATGTCGTCGGACATTCTCCTCCCGCGCACTAAAATCCCTGAGGCTATTGGGAGTACGATGCCGAGCAAAACTCGAGTCGATAAATTTTCTCGGCATGCAGCAGCTGGCTGCTCAATTGCACGGGACAGCACTACCCGAACCCGCCGAGTAAATCATCCTCTCGCGGCCTCATATCCTTCCATTCAATCCTTAACCAGTCGGCCACCGCACACTCTCTCTCTCTCTCTCTCTCTCTATCTCTCTCTCTCTATCTCTCTGTCTGTCTATCTCTCTGTCTGTCTATCTCTCTATCTGTCTACCATACACTCTCCCTTACTCGCTCATCCCCTCCCGCCCGTCGGCGGTATCGGCGCACAAAACGAGCAGGCCGGCTAGTAAATACTTGGTGGCGAGTTGTTGCACGCGAGTCCGCGGCGGCTGAAATAAGTGGGCAAAAAGCCCAATGGTTGAATGGGGCGTGGAGTGGGCGCGAGGTATCAATGGCACTTTGATTGAGGCGACCGTCGTCGATTCTGACGTGCCCAGTCAAGCGTGACGGTGATGGCGGGGAGGAGAAGATGGTAAACAATGGGGATCCCGAGCGAGAGCACCGCGAAAAACATCCCTGGGCCATGTGTCGCGACTCGCGGCCGAGCACGAGACTTTGTTTTACCATTGGACGCCATTTTGCCTGGCATTGTGTTTGTGTTTTGCTCGGCTCTGAATTAGCCGAGAGCGGAGCGACACGCGAATTGAGCCATCGTGCAAATTGCCCGTCTCGTTCTTACTCTACGGGCGGATGAGCTGCGTGAAAAAGAACGGGCGAGAGAGAGAGAGAGAGAGAGAGTGAGAGAGAGAGAGAGAGAGAGAGAGAGAGGAATGTGGGATGATGGGTTCGTTTAGTTGAGTTGAAGGATTGGCTTTGAATTTGATTGGGTCATAACGTTATTCGCACGAATTCAATATGAATTGGGTCTATCCGAGTGGGAGGTAAGGTTTTTCAACGAATCATAACAAATACCGCTGCACGCTTCATATCCTTATACCCTTACCTAACAAACTCTTTGTTTAAAGGATCCGTTCTTGTTGGCTTGTTTTCTTGTTGTTTTGTTTTGTTTGTTTGTTTTTTTGTTTATTTTATTTTTTTTTTTTTTATTTTTTTTATTTTTGACAATTCATCCACTTTCCGATAGATAAGAATGTGGAAGAAATTGGAAAAAGTCGCCTAGTTGTAAATGATCTTGTACTAAAAAAAAAAAAGGAAGAAGAATAAACGTAAATGTAGAGGTAAACGTGAGTGGGAAAGGAGAGGAAGAAATCACGTCGCACGTCGACCAATTCTCGGGAATTAGCATGTATAATTAAAACGACATTGTCGTACGATCGAGCTTTGACGCGTCCATTGCGCCATTTCAAACCCTTTACGTCAAATCGTCCGTAGAGAATGTGTATAATAGAGAGGTAGAGAGGTAGAGAGAGAGAGTGAGAGAGCTGCTGTATAATAATCACGAACCATCCCTCTCCCTTCTCTGTGAGTGAATTTAACTCTTCCTCCCATAAACATGTGTATACGTAAGCGTAGTATATACGTTTATACATACTGTTTCATATTATGGCTGCAACAAGGCACGGAGTGGAGAGAAAAATCGGACGACTTTGTTTCGCTTGTCAGGCGATCCTTTAATTTTAGGATCGACCATAAACTTCCATGTACGCTCTAGTATTCAGTCTCCCTTTTAAACTTTCCTTCTTGTTTTTTTTTCCTTTTTTTTTTTTTTTTGAACCGTTTTCCCTTTCCTATGCTCTCTCTCTTTCTCTACTAGTATTCAGTCTCCCTTTTAAACTTTCCTTCTTGTTTTTTTTTCCTTTTTTTTTTTTTTTGAAACGTTTTCCCTATCCTATGCTCTCTCTCTCT